GGCAGCGTGTCATGACACAGCGCCCGGCTTCCTGATACCGGAAGTATCGGGCTAGGCATCGGCGGAGTACTCGCCCCAAATACTCGGTATCGGTGCATCCCTAGTTTTTACTATTGTCCATAATATTTGAAGAACATTCAACCAGAAAAGGAAATATCCTAAAAAACATTCGATTTTTGCCCCATTCACACAACAGCTGGATAATTCGCACAGAACGAATGTACATTCTATTTCAGCTTTGTAAATGTTCTCAGTAATGGACCCCATTGGAGAGGGTCGGGTATATTGGGTGTAGTAGCACTGGGGGCGGCTGTGCCATCTCTCTGTTCGCGTCCGCACTCATTCTTACAGCAATAAAAACCCGTCTGCGCGCAGCCAGAGGACAACGCACTGCGGGTGGCGACCTCATCCCATCGATACCACACCAGCCAATCACAGGGCGGGAGATCCGATTGGAGAGCGTCACACAAGAACCTGATCTCTACAACTCCCATCATGCCCTCCCATGCACACCGGCCAGGGGCAACGCTGGGACTTGTAGTGCTTGGTGGGAGACATTTTCAGGTTGCGCGGCCGCTCCTAGACGCACGTGCGTAACGTTGGAGATACAGAAGCTGCTGCCGGCGGCCTCCCCGTGGAAATGCCGGCCGCCTGGCAGTCACGGGGATCCCGCCCCTTTAATACCGCGCGCCGGTGACCAGAGACTGTATGCTGCTGCTGTGGCCTGTACAGCACCAGTACTAGCAGGCGGACTGGGAGCCAAAGAACGGCAGCTTCCATCAGAGGCTTTGCACACGGGTGATGTATTTTGTTTTGTGACAATCCCTTCTAAGTGCCGCAGTCTGACCCGTGACGTCCGAGTATAGAATGTACGCGTTCCGGCAACATGGCCGACATCCCCCACCCCCCATCATCGTCATCCGCACATCGTCAGGGCCCATGGAGCGCTGCGGGTCATCTTAAGGGGATATAAAGGTGACGGAGGAAATAGAACCTGGGGGCCCCCGAGTGCACCACCACCTCCTATTGGTCGGAGCGATGGTGCAGGGGGCGGAGCGATGGTGCAGGGGGCGGAGCGATGGTGCAGGGGGCGGAGCTCTGCGGGTCGGGCTGTAATGGAGAATATGGACTCCGCAGGGACTTCTGGGTCCTAGAGAACAGGGGTGGTCAGAGAGGATCGGCTCCGAGCTCGGGTACAGTCTACATCAGGGGTGGGCAACTGCGTCACTCCGGGTGTTGTGGAACTACAAATCCCATGAGGCATTGCAAGATTCAGAGTCACGGGCATGATGGGATTTGTAGTTCCACAACAGCTGGGAGTCCCGCTTGAGACACAGATTGCTGTATATCGTTCTATACCAGGTATCCTACAGACCGGGGGTGGGGGAACCTCCAGCTGCGGTGGAACTACAAATCCCATGAGGCATTGCAAGATTCTCACAGCCACAGACATGACTCCCAGAGACAGATGCATCATGGGATTTGTAGTTTGCACTACAGCTGGAGGGCCGGAGGGTGCCCTCCGCTTCTATAGAAGCTCCCCTCCCCCCCCCCCCCCCACTAGTTCACTGTCTGTCATGCTTATCCAGCTGCTGCACTGATTTCAGACCTGGAACAGGAATGCTGATGTGGAGTTGTGACTTCACTTGCTGCATGCTTGTTCCAGGACGGAATGCATTGAAGCCGGAGGCCGTCAGGGAACGCAGGAGGAGGCAGGAACAGCATTCGTTTATGTCTTCAGGAGCATGCACGTGACGGGTCTGCTTTAAAGGAGAACTCCGCCGCTGATGGTTCCCCCTCCGGCTCCATTGGAAGGATTTGAGTGCATTGCTCTGCAGATTCTTACCTGCTCCTGCTCTGCAGATCTGGTGACGGGAGTAAGCTCCTCCTACAATGGGCGTGTGCAGAGGGAGAGTCTGTCTGTTACGAGCCCCTGAGCAGTCCCAGTGTGGTACTGGAGGGAAAAGCCACGAGCCAATCAGAGAGCAGGAGATGAGATATTCTATGTAGGGTACGCAGGGGGCGGGCGCTCTCGGATTTGGGCAATTTCACCAATTTTTTGGCGGCTTTACTAAATCTCAGCAGCTGCACCCGGAGGGGATTCCAAAAAATTCTGCTGTTCTATGTCCTGCGTCTTCAGTTAGAGAGCGGCTAGAAATGCTGAGCCGGGGGGGGGAAGTATTTTCCTTCGCACAGCCGACTTCCTGTCTGGTCTCTGCATGGTAATGTTGCCGATGTTCATAGAGACCCGGTTTTCTCTAGTTTGTATTACTTGTTGAAATAAAAAGTTTTTATTTTCCCCAAATTTGTGTTTTTTGCTGATTTTATAAGAAACGCGACGCAGCAAATATTCAATATAAAGGACGATCGGCAGCGCAGGCCGAGAAATCGCCACCCCTCCCCCCACACACAACACAGGAGACTCCCGGAAAGGTCTGTCGTCCCTTTAATCCCAAATTCCCGTCACCTATAAAAACGATATTCTATATAAAACGTTCATCCGGCAGCAATATACAAGGCGGAGGGTTTACAGGACGTCACCCACCTCACTTAGATCTGGAATGTGTAGCAGCGTGATGAGCCAGGGGGGCGGAGTCTATGTGCAAAGGCTTATGGGGGGGGGAAATGCTGAATCGCCGCCCCCCCCCCCCCCCCACCACCCCACCACAAACCGAAGCCCCCCCCCCCCCCCCCCCCACAATGGCCAAAGTCAGTTACAGTCCCGGCGAATGTTCTGAGAAATTCCACATCCAAGATTAGAAAATCAGTCTGTGACCATGTGACCTGCGTGATTACAGAGGGACTACGGGGGGAAACATTGCTGAGAACTGGATGGAGCGGGGAAGGTTTTTACTGGATGCCGTGTCACTGCTGAGGAGATATCCCTTCACTTCCTGCACCGGCGAGAGGGACCACCGTGTTCACTTCCTGTTCCCAGGACAGGAATTCCCTGCCTTCTCCTGTGCACAGGAGGAACCATGTTTTCGGGATAAGAATCACCCTTTCCAAATCCTGTTCCAGTGACAGAGGTCAATGCCCTCACTTCCTGTTCCAGTGGACAATCCCCCCCCACTCCTCCAGCGCTGACTGGCGGAACGGACGGGGGAGGGAACAGCTGGCTCTGCCTCTAGATAGGCCTAGGGTGACGGGAGGGCGCTAGTTTGTGTCCTCCCGTTACCCTAAGGAGAACTATGGGGAAAAGCTCTGACCTCATACTTCTCCTTTAAGAGCGAGAACCCCATCCCAACATTTAGTATGTTCCCCGCTCCGGGCTCATTTTTGGATTTTCCTTTTCCCTCCCACCCTGGTCCAGCGTCTCCATCGTAGGGAGGGGGAGGGGTTTACTAAAACTTGAGCAACATTGATTCTGTCTTCAGATGAAGCTTTGAAAATGAAAGAGAAGCTGATTGGTCGCCATGCTGAGCTCCCCGCCCCCTTCACTCTGCTCCAATCTTAGAAAGTACAGAGAGAGGCGTTTACTAAGTTGCTGTTTTTCTGCAGTGACAGGTTTGCTTTAAATGAGGCCACACCGGGGATCGTCATCCTCATCCTCGGCTCCCAGACGCTTGTAACAGCCGTCAGCGCACTCTGCGACGTCCTCCTCCCGGGGAAGAAGGTGCGAGCGTCCCCTGTGTGCAGTCCCGGGACAGATTCCTCAATC